GCGTATTTATTACACGAACGGGCCAACGTTTTGCTTTGTAGTAACGAGCAATAACCTTGAAGTTTTTCGGTCAAAATATCACATCGCTCTGTGATCCGGTCGCGCTATGACCTCTGACCTCCAAATGAAATTCACTCAGAATTGAACGTATTTTCTCTTCAATAGGTTCATCTAAGAAAGATATTTGCAAATGTAAATATCCTAAAATAAAAAAAAGACATCATACTATTCCCCGGTTTTGTCGCCATTAATTATGGTTCTTCAACATCACACATGATCAACGTCAATTTTCGACGTGACAAACTTTGGACGCTCTTACTTAAAATAGACATTTTACTTTTACATCTCTCACCTCTCGATTTTTTTTTTGGGGGGGGGGGATTGAAAACAAGTACTCCGAATGTATATTATTTTTTAATAGCCCATTTAAATATTTCCTAGATCTATTCCAGTTTTGAAACTATGAATTAAATGGAAATAAGAACGGTCCCTTCCCTTTTTCTGAAGTCCCCTTAATCTCCTTAAAATTGTTTGACATTTCATATAAAATTTACGATAAAATTTAAAAAATCTTACAGAATGGGGTAAAAAATTGCAAATTTTACGCGGTACGTTTGTGTCATACAACGTATTAAAGTGAATTAAAGGAATTTTTGGATGACAAATTCTCATATTATAAAAAGTTTTTATTCGCTGTCACACTTAGGTAGAAAAACGTAGTCTTCGAGGTTGTGCCGCTGGATATACTATTTCTTTCAAAAACATCAACAACGTATTTAAAAATAAAACTAATTATACTTAGTTTCTTAAATAAATAAAATAGATAATTCTAATTCTAAAACTTTGAAAAATTCATTCATGTATCTTAGGCGGTTTTTATTAATTTTATGACGCAAACTTTCCGAACAACCCTCGTACATGTACTTGTGTGCCAAGTTTTATTGAAATCAGACCAAAACTGTGGGAGGTACTGAACTATCATTTTGAATGTATTTCAAAGAAAATTCTAGTTTAGTTACCATGGCAAGACCGTTCATCAAAGTTTTACATAGAAATACCGGGTATATGGGAAAAATAATTGAAAATCTTCAAAAGAACCACTGGGCAAGAAAAGCTGAAACTTATGTGGAAGCATCCTGGTAGAATCTAAATTTTTCAAATCATGATCAGTGGGGTTGGGTGGGGTCACAATTTGTATTACGAGGGGGGGGGGAATCTGGTAAAGAACGGAATGGTCAAAGCTTCTCAGGTGAGCGATGTGGCCATTGGGCCTCTTGTTGATAAAATAATTAATCATTGAGAACATTACTTTTTTGAAAATCACCCTGATTCATAACACAAGTACCCAACAAACCGGGAAATCCAATGGGAACTAATTGTGCTCTTCTCTTACCCGACATATATTTCGTGTGTGTGTGATCCTCTACTATTCTGGTAGAATGAAAAAAGTATATTTCGTAGCTCATTAAAATATTGACTGATGCAGGGAAAGTTAAAAAGGAAATGAACTCAGCGTCTTTTTTTTAATACACATATTCAGTTGCAATTGACAAAATTTATTTTGTTACTATACTGATGACAATGGTTCACTGTATGTGATGAAAACAAATATTGTCATTGTAGGAACATGTACGATATTTGGCGAAAATTCATTTTTGAACAAGTTAGAATAAATTTGATTTAGTGTACTTTTAAATATTTTTATCTATAATTTACATTTAGCGTTGTACTCATATTAGCTGAATTTTTTTTTGCAAACACTTTTACAGTTCTTTTAATCCCTGACTGGACAAAACCTGTCTATATAATGTATACTGAATCTGACTTAATTTCCCAGATGAGTGGTCAAGTTAACGTATCGGAGGAGAGCTGTCCCGAGTAATAATGTCCTATCAAAACCAGACTGAATGCCTACTGATTTTGGAATTCACACTTCTTATAGGAAATTGCTGTAAAAATGGTGTTAACAATTCTTAGAAAATACTTTAATTCATTTAACTTCATGTACTAGTTACGTTTTAACTCTCCTGGGGTGAAATCTAAAATGTGTCCGGATTATGTCTGTCTGTCTGTTTATAAACTTTTCACATTTTAATTTGAACTTCTTCTCAAGAACCCCTGGGCAAATTTTAACCATACAGAACTGATACAAAACATCCCTGTGTGAAGGGATTCTAAATTAAAATAAAGCGATAATAAAGAAAATGAAAAAGGGTGTTGTCAGTAAAAAAAATTTTCCTGCAAGAACCAGAAAAGCTGATGAGGTTATCGGGAAGCATCCTATAGGGTAATGTAGATTCTAAATGGTACAAACCATGGTAACTGGGGTTAGGGTGGGGATGAAACTTTTCTATCATCAACTTCCCTTACTTAATAAATGCAGCAATATACCTTCATCACCTGCATACGGAGTGTATATATCCCAGTTGATTCGATACGCAAGAACAATTTCTAAAACGAGTTGAATTATTGACAAGCAAGTTGATGAAACAAGAATATCAACAGTCTCGTTTAAAGTCATCATTTCTTTAATTCTATGGTCAATACAATAATCTTGTTAGCAAATACAATTTATCATTGAGACAAATGCTGACTGACGTTTTTCATACTAATTGTTAGTCCATAAATTATACACGGAATTGACGACAGATCTTCCAGTTATTTACCGATCATGACAAGTAGCACAGCGCGATGTGACCAATCAGCATGGGGATTCTCACTCCTTCATGGCACCTGATCCCACCTCTGATGTTTCGGTGGTCCGTGTTTTCTCTGCTCCTATTTCGGATTGTTTCAGTATGGACTTTGATGTTAAATGCTGTTCGTTATCTCCATATCTTTCCTTGTGACAAGACCTTTCATTTGATATCAAGGACTTTGACCCTTTGACCTGGGAGTTTGACTTACTTTTTAAAAATGTGATTCGGGGGTAAATAGTTTTTGTCGTGATTGTCCGTCCGTCCGTCTGTCTGTCTGTCTAGCTGTTTGTCCGCAGAAAATTTAACCATTCCCATAACTATTGATTTTGTGGTGCAATTACTTTCATATTTCTCATTTGTATTTCTTGTGGCAAGGCCTTTCTTCGGATACCACCAAATTTGAACTTTTGACCTTGGAGTTTGACACACTTTTACACTAAAAATTAACTTTGACCAAAACTTTTGAATGTACAATACTAGGACTTTGATACTTCATATACATGTATACATGTATTCTATGTGGCAAGACCTTTAATTGGATGCCAACAACCATAACCTTTTCATGTTTGACCCTTGGAGTTTAACTTCACTTTCGAAATCTTATCATAGGCCATAACTTTTGATGAGGTGATGCTAGAGCTTTCATATTTCAGAATTGTACATTGATAAGACGCTACTTTGGGTACCAAAATAATGAATTTGTATTTAGGAAAAGTTTCATTTTCGCTATGTTGCTGTACGGGGACATCGGAGTTTCATCTTCGCTATGTTGCTATACGGGGGCATCAGTGTTTCATGGACACATCTTGTTTCTCACTGTTATCAGAGGTGAGTAGCAAAAAAGAGTAACTTCTCTCGGTAGAGTACACATTTCCCGCCAAGATCATTGGAGCTTTGCCCAGATCAGAAAGAGGAATAACTTCCCTCGGTAGAGTACATATTTCCCACCAAGACCAATAGAGCCCTGCCCAGAACAGGCAAGTGATCTATTGGTCTAAATATCACAAGTCTGATCAAACTACCTTGCCTTTTACAGCTTTTGTACTATGCGGCGTCCTACATGCCAAGTAGCAGAGGAGATTTAGGTAATACATGTAATGTATTTTCACTACATGGGTCATCTTCACTTATCATAATCATGTATTAAGTTCGTCTGCTTAATACCAAGGATCCAATCTTCAAAGATTTTTATGCACCCGCAATTGAAGATTCGGGGTATAAATATAGGTTTTGTAGTGTCCTTCCGTTTAGGAGTCTAGCTGTCTGTCTGTTTGTCCGCAAAGAAATTAACCTTGCCCACAGCTTTTGGTTTAGTTGAGCTTTGATTTTAATATTTCACATAGTTATTCCTTGTGACAAATCCTTTCTTTGGATACCACCAAATTTGATCTTTTGACCTTGGAGTTTGACACACATTTACACAAATTTTCCAAATTTTTACTTTAACCATAACATTTGAACCGTAGATACTAGGACTTCATGCTTCACATATGTATTCTTTATAACAAGACCTTTCATTGGATACCAACAACTTGAGTTGTTGTCCTTGACCTTGGAGATTTACGTACCCTTTAAAAAACTTTAATCCTGGCCATAACTTTTGAACTGTATGGACTAAATCCATGATACTTTAAATATTTGGTTGGCCTTGATATTTGATATTAACCAACTTTTTAAAAAGTTTAACCTTGGCCATAACTTTTGAACAAGTGGTGCTAGGGCTTTCATATTTTACAAATGTATTACTTGCGGGAATACCTTTCTTTGGGTACCAACATGCTAGTATATATAATTTGCATTTGAGATCAGTTCATTCTTTTAATCTTCGTTATGTTGTCATGCATATGTGGACATAAGTGTTTCACAAACACATCTTTTTTTTCTACTGTTTTCCAGGTTCGTTAGACAACGGACTAAAACATTATTTTATTTCCAAAAGTCTACAGAGAGGTTTGAAAGATGTACAGTATTGTAGAAATAAAAATTATGAGTAGAATTGTAATAAAACTGTATATAAACGAAAACACATACAGAGCAAGCTGTTGCTGCCATAAAACATTACGTGATTCGAGAGGTAATTTACAAGATGAAGTAAATTATCAATATTTTTCGCATAGAATAATCCAAAAATAATTAAACTTTGATAACTATCTTAACTAGAAATAAAATTACATTATGTTTCATTTAATATGTTGGCTATAAAAATTTACATTATGTAATTTACATTTCTGTGCTTTGAATTTTTCATTATAGAGTGAACAATCTATAAGAAAATTACTGTCCTTTTCCGCTTTACTCCGACTATTCCTTGAGCTCTTTCTGCCCCTCCCCCTCCTCCCCTGGTTGACCAGACTTCAATGTGCAGACGAGCACCTCATACTCCTTGGCTTTGTGTTCTTTCCCATCATAACCAAAATAAGCACATTTGTGCGATCTATGAACTTTACATGGAATAAGACTCCCCGCATGGTTGACACGACCAATGTATAGCCCTTCACCCTTACTGGGCATCTCCTCATCCACCCTTAGAGCATTTTGGGGAATGTTTCCGTCGGAGGCGTGCTCCCAGCTATATATCCATGGTCTATAACTTTCTTCACCGTTAATACGCTAAAACTTTTCGAAAACCCTTTCTTCACCACCATACGGAATACAGGCTCCACTAAGATGATGACCGTATTTTCCAGGTGTAAAGGTGCCATCAACGTAGGCAGCTACGACATATAGTATTTTGCCGTCTGCCTCGTACCCTCCTTCAAGGCACCCTTCCGGCATGTAGCCATTTGTGGAAAACCAACGTTTTCTCGCGCGATTGAGAACTTGCTGTAAAAACTGCTGCTACAATTGCTGGATGAAAAAACAGCATAAAAGTGCATAAATTGTTCGCAAGAGACCGATGAGCTGGTATTCGTGCACGACACCCGTACATTGGATATCCACCAGCGCTTAGACGTCGCAAAGGACATATGGATTAGTTAAGACGGTATGCCCCAAGAATTTAGAGGCGTCGACACTGACATAAACTTCACTTTTCTACTTTCAACACATGATATGTTTAATTTTTATCAAAACCCTCAAAATTCACTTTTAAAAAATGAAGGATTAAACTGAAAACTTAAATTATCATGTTTAATCTGAATATGCGTTTCTTTTTTTGTTGAGTATACATTGAATTGACGACGGATTTTCCAGTTATTTCCCAATCAAAAGAAGGAGCACACTGCGGGTGTCACCGTGCCTCTACCAAGTAAAGAACTTAGAAAATTTTAGAGAAGAGTTTAGAAAATTGTAAAGATTAATTTCACGTTAAGAAAATGAGAGCACCGATGATGAGAATCGAACCCGGTACCTTCACCATGGCAGATCGATGCTCATTTTACTGAGCTAACGAGGCTGTTCAGAGACATGGGTTTAGATTAACTTCAGTACACTATTTTTAGTTTTTCTTTCTATATTATATATAAATATATACATTTGTGGTATCACTCCATTATAATTATATAAACATACAGAGAGAAAACATCTTCAATTCTGTATGAAGTTTGTCAGAGGTCAGAGGTCAATACGTGACCTAATCACACGGCGCAATAATATCTACGTGTACATAAATCATAAAATGACCTGCTCTACTTGCTTTTCATGTGTAAAAATGAACAAAATAAGCAAGTAAAATGATAATTATTTTATTTAAAATGTAAACAAGTTTTTTTTTCATACAGTTTTTGGGCTATCGATTCAACCTGTGTACATAGAAAAAACTAGGAGCCTAACGAGTAACGTGTGTTTACATTTTTCTTCACTTTTGTCAGCTTCACAGTCTCTAACGTACATCCTTATTTTTTGGGTAAACCTTTGGTTAAATTTTCATGATAAACTTTTATTTTGTCTTTAAATTTTACTCACGATAAATGTGTTAATCTGTTGAAAAATATTGCATATCATGATATCATGCCATGAACAGCTGCCAAACACCTCGGCGTTTTCGTAGTTCAGTGTAAAGCTGTCGCCAGTGTCTCTGTGTTTATCAGTGTTTTACGATAAGTATGCCTTTAGTTATTGAAACCGTAGAATGTTTTTGATCAAATTAAAAATAAACTGGCTCGGACAAGTGTCTCAATCCATCGGATCCATCCATTCCTTTCCGGCGACCGAAATTCCTCCAACTTTTTATTTTCAAAGTTCGGACGTGTTTCTTGTGTCTTTTCAGCATCGATTATCATTTTCACGAATAAAAATATCCCAGACAACAATCTGTTCACTATAACTGATCACAAGTAGCCTTTCACAAAATATTCCCTTCGAAATAGATTCCTTAGCCTAATGCATTCGAAGCGTAACCGCCATGCAAGCCGATTTACATCTTGCGTCATTTTCAAAATCTACGACGGACGGTTAGTGCAATAATTTAAATTCGAAAATTTTCAAATTGTCTCTCTCAAATGTATATATAAGTAATAAATAACAATTTTATAAACTTCAATGGGAATTGAAGTGGGTCGTTACGTGATCAAATCTTCTGAGAAGGCCTTCGGGTACCATTATATTGAATTTGTTTATAAGGAAAGTTTCATCTTCGCTATGTTGCTATACGGGGACATCGGAGTTTCATTTTCGCTATGTGGCTATACGGGGACATCGGAGTTTCATTTTCGCTATGTTGCTTTACGGGGGCATCAGTGTTTCATTTTCACTATGTTGCTATACGGGGACATCGGAGTTTCATTTTCGCTATGTTGCTTTACGGGGACATCGGAGTTTCATTTTCGCTATGTTGCTATACGGGGACATCGGAGTTTCATTTTCGCTATGTTGCTATACGGGGACATCGGAGTTTCATTTTCGCTATGTTGCTATACGGGGACATCGGAGTTTCATTTTCGCTATGTTGCTATACGGGGACATCGGAGTTTCATTTTCGCTATGTTGCTATACGGGGACATCGGAGTTTCATCTT